GAAAAAAAAAACTCCTGCACCTAGTTGGTGTCTGCCCAAATGGCCACCCAGTACTTGAAACCCAGGGCCGTGGTGGCATAGGCACCAGAGGGAATCTCCTGGTCTGTGGGTTGGGAAGACCATTGGAAAAGTACAGTATGTGGGCCGGAGTGCACTGTTCGTCACGGCACAATCCCTCATAGCTTCCCTTGGCTAGAAGAGGGAGTTCCCTGACCCCTAGCGCTTCCCGGGTGAGGCGACGCCCCACCCTGCTTCGCCTTGCCCTCTGTGGGCTGCACCCACTGTCCAACCAGTCCTAATGAGATGAACTGGGTACCTCAGTTGGAAAAGCATAAATCACCTGCCTTCTGCATTGATCTCACTGAGAGCTGCAGACTGGAGCTGTTCCTATTCAGCTATCTTGCCAGCACCCCTGAAGCAAATTTCTAGGGTGTATTCTTGGCATGTGAGATGGGGCTGGGGGTGTTAACATTGCTATACTTGGGGGGGGAGTCTGAAGTAATGTTTCTTATACCTTTTGGGGGAAGTGCTAAAGATCTTTCCTCCTCAGGTTCCGTGTTCAGGTACTTGAGACTTTGGGCCATTGAAGCTCTGTGATACTCATAGTGCTGTCAGCTGAGTTTGGTGGCAGTTGTAGGAAAGGGCATGATGCGAGAAGGTGGCAGACATCCTTGGACTTGGTAGTCATGTGACCCAGGGATGAGGGAAGAGGATGGGGAGCAGCAGGTTAATCATAGGCCCCGTAAATAGGACTAAAGGAAATTATACTTTCAGGGCCAGGTTTGCATGTGGTAAGATTTCATGCCCAAGAAGAAGGCTTTTAATGTCCTCAAATTGCATTCCATAGAATTATCAGTATTCTATGAAAATGACTATTGTGGTCTATGTTAGTAGGATATGAAGTTCTGAATTATTGTGTATAATTTTATTATAGAAAACAAGGTCAATGGTATATTTTAGTATAAATGCATATTTAGTAAGGGGAAGAGAGCTGTGTTGTGGAGAAATAGGTCAGACGTTCTAGCAGTGATGCGTACTTCTGAACTTAATCTAAGAACAATTTCTATGATGGGGCAGGTTAGTCTGTTTGGCCAAGGGTAGAGGACACTTTCGTAACCAGCAGGGCAGAATCAGTCCTGACCTTTGGGGATCAGGTACTTCACAGGCAGTTAACCTTCACATCCCTGTGGCATTAAGATGAAAATAGAGTGTAAAACCACTTCTGTTTTTCTGGAGACTTGGAGAATTCACGGTCTAAGTGTGGTGGTGAACAAGGCACATGAAAAAATCATGCTACCTTTTGACATATTTGACTAGTTGGGTACTGTGATGGGGTTGGTGATTGGTCAGTGGTGGTGTACAGCCATGTTAACATTGATGCTGATGTTAGGGCAAACAGTTTGGTTAGGCTGCATAAAAGTAATATTGAAAAGAGCTTCTCATAAGGACATCTGGATTCTAGTTCTGTCTTTGCTTCTTTGTAACCTTCAGAGTAGTATCACATAGGTGCTAGGAGTTTTAATTTCCTGTGTAAAGATAGGGGTTGTCTGGATCATAGTTCCCAAATTCAGGGACAGAAAAGTTATATAAATCAATAATGTGGCCCAGTTTAAGAGGGATTGATGGGGGTTATGTCGAACTCGGCTCAATTTTGGCCCAGTCTTGTTGATTGATTGAGAGAAATTAGAAATCTGGGCTGATTTATGAAAACAGTTTCAAATTTAGAATCCCCTACCTACAGGTTAGGGTTCAAGTTCCACGATCTGGTCCAGGATTTCCTCTCTGTTCTTGTGGTGCCCACAAGATTGTGCTTCACTGTCCTTCAGTTGCAGGTACAACTGACCAAGGCCTCCAACTACTTGAAGAAATCCATCAGTGCTTTTGCTCTGAGGCCACAGTTCTCATGACTGTACCTAGCTAGTGACTAAGCTTGGAGGGGACACTAAGGCAGGCCTATTCCTGAGAACACTCTAGTAGTCGACATTGGTTCAGGGATTCTTTTTGTTTGTTTATTTTGTTTGTTTTGAGATGGAGTCTTGATTTGTTGCCCAAGCTGGAGTGCAGTGGTGTGATGTCAGCTCACTGCAACCTCTGCCTCCGGATTCAAGCAATTCTCTGGCCTCAGCCTCCCAAGTAACTGGGATTACAGGCTGGAGTGCAATGGTGTGATCTTGGCTCAATGCAACCTCTGCCTCCCAGGTTCAAACAGTTCTCCTGCCTCAGCCTCCTGAGTAGCTGGGGTTACAGGCACCATGGCTGGCTAATTTTTTTTGTATTTTTCATAGAGACGGGGTTTCACTATCTTGGCCAGGCTGGTCTCGAACTCCTGACCTTGGGTGATTCACCTGCCTCGGCCTCCCAAAGTGCTAGCATTACAAAGTGCTAGCATTACAAGGGTGAGCCACTGCAACCTCTGCCTCCCGGGTTCAAGTGATTCTCCTGCCTCAGCCTCCCAAGTAGCTGGGATTACAGGCATGTACCACAATGCCCAGCTAATTTTGTGTGTGTGTGTGTTTTTTTTTTTTTTTTTTGAGACGGAGTCTCGCTCTGTCACCCAGGCTGGAGTGCATTGGCCGGATCTCAGCTCACTGCAAGCTCCGTCTCCTGGGTTTACGCCATTCTCCTGCCTCAGCCTCCCGAGTAGCTGGGACTACAGGCGCCCGCCACCTCTCCCGGCTAGTGTTTTTTTTGTATTTTTTAGTAGAGACGGGGTTTCACTGTGTTAGCCAGGATGATCTCGATCTCCTGACCTCGTGATCCACCCGTCTCGGCCTCCCAAAGTGCTGGGATTACAGGCTTGAGCCACCACGCCCGGCCTAATTTTGTGTTTTTAGTAGAGACGGGGTTTTTCCTTGTTGGTCAGGCTGGTCTTGGACTCCCGACTTCAGGTGATCTGCCTGCCTCAGTCCCCGAAAATGCTGGGATTACAGGCATGAGCCACCACACCTGGACGGCTTCAGCTTTCTTGAGAAAGACTTCCTTCTTTGTCTGTCTGGATGGCAGGATTTTATCAGACTGAATACTTAAGTGTTTTCTTTTATAACTTTCATAATATTTTGTGCATAAACCATTTAACTTACCATGTAATAATATACTCTTTTGTGTATTTGTTTTCTATCCATTTGAGTGTGAACCCAGGGACTTTAATTCCGTTGTTCATTAGTGCATTGATTTGTTAATTCCACATTTATTTATTTATTTTTTGAGACGGAGTCTCGCTCTGTTGCCCAGGCTGGAGTGCAGTGGCGTGATCTCAGCTCACTGCAAGCTCCGCCTCCTGGTTTCACGCCATTCTCCTGCCTCAGCCTCCCGAGTAGCTGGGACAACAGGTGCCTGCCACCACACCTGGCTAATTTTTTGTATTTTTTTTTAGTAGAGACGGGATTTTACTGTGTTAGCCAAGACTCAATCTCCTGACCTCATGATCCGCCCACCTCGGCCTTCCAAAGTGCTGGGATTACAGGCGTGAGCCACTGCCCCCGGCCCTCATTTGTTTATTTTTTTGAGACAGAGTCTTGCTTTGTTACACAAGCTGGAGAGCAGTGGCATGATCTTGGCTCACTGCAACCTTTGCCTGCTAGATTCAAGTGATTTTTGAATGGCCTCAGCCTCCCGTGTAGCTGGGATTATAGGTGCCCTCCACCACATCCAGCTAATTTTTGTAGTTTTAGTAGAGATGGGGTTTCACCAGGTTGGTCAGGCTGGTCTTGAACTTCTGGCCTCAAGTAATCTGCCCGCCTCAGCCTCCCAAAGTGCTGGGATTACAGGTGTGAGCCTGATCCACATTTATTTCTTAATTTGACTAGTTTACCCACGTTCTAGGTACTGGAAATAAGGATGGGAAGACAAACATTCATATTCAACAAATATTAATTAAACATCTATTAAGTGTTGGGCAGAGTGCAAGGGCATTCCATGGGTGTTATTTGTGTTTCCTCAGCAGCTAGTGCAGGCAAATATACCTTCCATCGATGTGTGCGAAATGTGATAGCATAGCAAAAATGCTCCATGGGAGAACTTTGTAGTCACACATTAGGGCACACAAAGCTGCTGATCTGGCTGTGATGGGCTCTGGAGATAGGATTTGCTGGAAGGCTTACCTCAGTGGAATTTTGTTTCCAAATCATTGGAGGTTACTTACTTCCTGGGGAAGAGATTCTCACTGGGAGGTGGGAGTTTGTTAGATGGAATGCACAGACTGTGCACCAGGGAGAGACAAGGCCCCTGGGTCTTGGTGGGTGCTCTGCAACTGCCTAGCTGTGTGATTTACTGGAGGTTAAGTATCCCTCCAAAGCTTCCATTTCTCTTGTAAGTGAATAAGGGAACTTTCTGGCTCTAAAATATGGGATTTCTATGTAATATTAAACTTTGTATAAAGTATATGTGGCACACATGAGTGCTTTTCACTAAGTATTTCCTATTCTCCTGGATAGATGGTAGGATTGCATCCTCCCCCTGGTCAAAGCCAACTAAGTGTGAGCAGAAGTGATGTGAGTAACTTTGAGATGGGAATTTTAGGAGCCAGTGTTCAGTTAGCTATATTCTTTCTCCCTGCCTCCAATTGAGGAAGCATGAGTGGAGTTGGAACCTCTATCAGCCAGGGTCTTTGAGTGACTATGAGGATCAGAGCTTCTTGGTAGATTTGTTATGGGCATATTTAGTGATAGATAAACCTTTGCTGTTAAGCCAGTGGGATGTTGGGGTTGTTACATTTAAGGTTTAACTTGAACTATTCTAATTGAAATTTAAAAGAAGAATGTAGCTGAATGTGCCATACCTCTCAGGTAGATTTTAAATACCTTTTTATATTCACACACATCCTTTGCAAAATGTAACCTTAAAATTAGAAAACACTTAAAAATGTGAAATGCACATGAAGTTTTATTCATGCGTATGTTTTTCTCCTGCCCTTTTTCATCTCACCAGATCTTTCCTAGGTAGGTTCACATTGGCAGCAATACAAATGCCTAACAGAGCTGTTCTCCATACTTTGCTTTTAGGATCTCCTATATATACAGCACCAGAAGTTGTGAGGGGTGCTGACTTTTCCATCTCCAGTGACCTCTGGTCTTTGGGCTGTCTGCTTTATGAAATGTTTTCAGGTAATTGTTTCCTGAATAGGTATAAAATCAGATATGACTAAAATAAAACCAGGTTAAGTCTGTAGTTTGCAGATGTTTTACTTACAAGATGTTAAAAAACTTGATTTTTAAAAATTTTGAGACAGTCTCGCACTGTCACCCAGTCTGGAGTGCAGTGACACGATCTCAGCTCACTGCAGCCTCTGCCTCTTGGGTTCAAGCCATTCTCGTGCCTCAGCTTCCTGAGTAGCTGGGCTTACAGGTGCCCACCACTATGCCAGGCAATGTTTTGTATTTTTAGTAGAGACAGGATCTCACCATGTTGACCAGGCTGGTCTTGAATGCCTGACCTCAAGTGATCTGCCTACTTAGGCCTCCCAAAGCTCTGGGATTATAGGCATGAGCCACTATGCCTGGGCAAAAAACCTGTGACCTTATTAAATTTTTTTTTTTTTTTTTGAGACGGAGTCTCAGCTCTGTCCCCCAGGCTGGAGCATAGTGGCCGGATCTCAGCTCACTGCAAGCTCCGCCTCCCGGGTTCCCGCCATTCTCCTGCCTCAGCCTCCCGAGTAGCTGGGACTACAGGCGCCCGCCACCTCGCCCGGCTAGTTTTTTGTATTTTTTTTAGTAGAGACGGGGTTTCACCGTGTTAGCCAGGCTGGTCTCGATCTCCTGACCTCGTGATCCGCCCGTCTCGGCCTCCCAAAGTGCTGGGATTACAGGCTTGAGCCACCGCGCCCGGCCGACCTTATTAAATTTTTATATATACTGATTTTGGCTGAGTTGCTTGGTATCTAGGCATATGCAGATTCCTAGAAACTTCTTGACAAATAGGTAGTTTTTCATGATAATCTGGAATGCTGAAATGTGCTTAACTCAAAAACTGTGATGATTAGAAATTTTTGTAAAGATGCCTTGCAACTGTGTATTATTCAGATGCGTTGAATGGCCTATACACCCATTGGTTCATAGTAGTGGTCCATATGTGTGTTTGTGTATTTGTTAGGATGATAATACGTTTTGAATTAAGAGAAATATAAATTATATAGGCAGTGCCTGGTACGTACTAGGCATTAGCTATTCCTGTATATTTTTTCTAGAAGTTGTATAATCTTGAAATATCTGTAGTGGAGATGAGAATTATTGGTGATAGCAGACTTCTTTAATTTTTCAAGTTTTCATATGATTTCAGGAAAACCTCCATTCTTCTCAGAAAGTATTTCAGAATTAACTGAAAAGATCTTATGTGAAGATCCTTTGCCACCTATTCCAAAAGGTAAGATTTCTTATGATAAAAATGAAATTAATTTACATTTTCCACTGATTAAAGGTGTACCTTTATCCAAAGTTTGCTTTTATTGATTCGTAACTCCCCAAAGTTACCTTTTACAAATGATCCCAAGTTGATATTTTTAGAAATGTTAGTATTTCCTTTGACATTTTTTAAAGATGCTGAAACAGAGAACAAAGTACTAATAGATTTCCCTCATTTAAAAACAAATTATTTTGTACATCTATATCACAAAAAGTATGGCTTAAAGACTTAAGAAACTTAAACACTCATGTGACATTACTTTTTGTATGTATCATTTACTTTGTAGTCATATCCCATGTGGTTATTTCTATCTCCTGTTGGAACAAATCCGCCGTTTCCTTATCCTGATCAATCAGAATGCTACCCTTATGAGTTTTAAAAATCTTTATTTTATATATATATATTTATTTATTTATTTTTGAGACAGAGTCTCACTCTGTTGCCCAGGCTGGAATGCAGTGGCGTGATCTTGGCTCACTGCAACCTCTGCCTCCTGGGTTCAAGCCATTCTCCTGCCTCAGCCTTCCGAGTAGCTGGGATTACAGGTGCCCGCCACGGCACCCGGCTAATTTTTTGGTTTTGTTTTTTAGTAGAGACGGGGTTTCACCATCTTGGTCAGGCTGGTCTCGAACTCCCGACCTCATGATCCACCCACCTCAGCCTCCCAAAGTGCTGGGATTACAGGCATGAGCCACTGCACCCGGCCTAAAAATCTTTAAAATTAGATACAGTTGTAGTATTTTTAAAGTGTTGGAACTTTAATCATATAAATTGTGGTTAATGTAATGATCTATCAGCAATAATTTTTAAGGAAAGAAAAAAGAAGGCACAAATGCAGTAAAACATTTTGCTATACATTGTTAAAGTTTATCTTACGACACATAAATGAAAACAGGATTCTGCAAAAATTAGTGCTGTGTATATATGTATATATTTATTATTATTATTATTTTATTATTATTATTATTTTTTTTAAGAGAACAGGGTTCTGCTGTGTCAGTCAGGCTGGAGTGCAGTGGTGCAGTCAGCCTCCCGAGTAGCTGGGACTGCAGGCGCACACCACTGGGAATGGCTAATTTTAAAATTTTTTTGTGGAGACAGGATCTTGCTATGTTGCCTAGCTTGTCCTGAACTCCTGGCCTTGATTGAGCCGCCTGCCTTGGCCTCCCAGAGTGCTGGGATTTCAAGTATGAGCCACAATGTGTGGCCATTACTACTACTTTTAACCATAGACTGATGACCTGGATATGGTATATAACTAATTTAAAAAGACAAAACATTATGAGATTAGTGGTATTGGACAGTGTCATAATATAATGCTTCTTATTTCTGTTAAAAATCTTAAAAGAGGGATTGCAAATATTCTAATCATAGTACTTTGTAATGCAAAGTTGTTCAAGTTAGGAATACTTCAAAGAATAAGGTATAATTAATAGTTAATTAGGGCTGAACATGGTGGCACACACCTGTAATCCTAGCACTTTGGGAGGCCGAGGTGGGTGGATCGCCTGAGGTCACGAGTTCATGACCAGCCTGACTATCATGGTGAAACCCCGTCTCTACTAAATATAAAAAAATTAGCCAGGCATGGTGGCACATGCCTGTAATCCGAGCTACTTGGGAGGCTGAGACAGGAGAATCGCATGTACCTGGGAAGCAGAGGTTGCAGTGAACTGAGATCACACCATTGCACTCCAGCCTGGGCAACAAGAGTGAAACTCCTTCTCAAAAAAAAAAAAAATTTGGAGCTGAGCTTAATGGTTCACACTTGTAATCCCAGCACTTTAGGAGATCCAAGGCAGGTGGATCACTGGAGCCCAGGAGTTTGAGACTAACTTAGGCAGCATAGTGAGACCCCATCTCTACAAAAAATAAACAAAAGTTAGGCGTGGTGGTGCATGCCTGTAGTCCCAGCTACTCTGGAGGCTGGAGTGAGAGGATCACTTGAGCCTGAGAGGTAGAGGCTGAAGTGAACCATGATCGTGCCGCTGCACTCCAGCCTGGGTGACAGAGCGAGACTCTATCTCAAAAAACTCCCCCAAAATAGTTGAAGACAAGTGTTTGAGTTTGTTAAGCTGGTGATTCTTATTGGGATTGTTCAGTGAAGAGAAGGCTTAGAGGTTTGTTAAGACTTAGTTTTTGAGATTTACATTTCCTTTTTGTGATCTAGGAAAACATGTTTTTAATCTTTGTGTTCTGTACCTCCCCATCCTGCCCCATTAAATGGAGGATATAATTGTTGTTAATGGATTTAGAGTTCTCTTAGTAATAATTTATGTGTTTAAAATACTATTACTTTAAATGTTGATGTAAGAGATAAAAATAAAATTGATATGTATTTACTACTTACCATTTTTTCTTGGAAATTAATTTGTTTATAGATTCTTCTCGTCCTAAAGCTTCTTCAGATTTTATTAATTTGCTTGATGGGTTACTTCAAAGAGATCCTCAAAAAAGGTTGGGACAGTATTTCGATTTTTTTTTCTTTTTCTTTTGACTTCTGTAAATGGAGTAAGGGACAGTATTTTAATGGGAATAAATAGTGGAATATTTTCCCCCTTTTATGCACTTCTAAAATGGTGCTGTTCTTAATATACAAATTGTTATTCAAATTATTATTTTTTAAAGAAGTCTGACTTTTGATTAAAAGTGCTTCTCTCAGTTTGCAGGTGTTTTTAATCATGAGGAATTTTTGAGGTCAGTTTCTCTTTTCAAGTATTGAGTAGTTGACAAATTTTCTTATAATTCCCGAATCCAAGAAGTACCATTTCTTGTATTTTGTATTTCAGGCTAAAACTGTTTGACTATTGACCTAGGGATGATATTGTCAAGTTAAGTTGCTGTTAACTGAGTGATATTTAATGTGACCTGTTTTTATGACAAGCCTGTCATAATGGGGATATTAAGTGATAGGATAATAGGCACCTTGTGAATTTTCTGTCAGTGATGGCAGTGTTAGAAATCATTGTTGAGGCACAGGGTAGGGGAGGCTAGGAGGTGGACCAGAGTGGGAAAGAGGCCCAGGCAACTAATTTCTGGCTCTGGTTCTGTCACTAGATAACTGGGATGCAGGGATGGGAGGAGGGTTCTGTTTATAAAATGGAGAATAAATTTAGTGTAGCATATATAAGAGTCCACTCTTTTATTAAATATGTTTTAAAAACTGCAGAAGGAAATGCTGATTTTTGTATAAGCTGTAGGACAAACATCCTTTACTTACATTAGAATGCTTTCAACATTAGTGTTATTTTGGTGGATAGTTTTTCAGACATCTTTTGATAGGATGTAACTATACCTAATTTACTTAAGAGAGTGTATCTACATATCCCTACATTTATAACCCTATGCTATATAATTTTCTTGCTTACACAGGACCACTCCATAACCTATTTTTTTCTCTCATGGTACATTATGCATATTTTTCCATTTCCATTTCTGAGTCTTGCTTTGTCACCCAGGCTGGAGTGCAGTGATGCAATCTTGGCTCACTGCATCCTCCACCTCCTGGGTTCAAGTGTTTCTCATGCCTCAGCCTCCTGAGTAACTGGGATTTCAGGTGCGTGCCACCATCCCCAGCTAATTTTTGTGTTTTTAGTCGAAATGGGGTTTCACCATGTTGGCCATGCTGGTCTCGAACTCCTGACCTCAAGCAGTTCCACCTGCCTCGGCCTCCCAAAATGCTGGGATTACATGTGTGAGCCACTGTACCTGGCTGCTTGGTCATTTTAAATGGCTGTAGAATGTACATACAATTACCTATAAAAAAGTAAAAGTTTAGAATGCCTCTTGATTTGTAATATTATATACGTTGTTACGGTAAATATCCTTTTGTGACTTTTTAAAATGTTTTTGGGTTTACTTGGGTAATTATCTCTTTCATGTGAGTTTCTTAAAGTGGAATGGCTTGCTAAAGGCTGAGAGCATTTAAACAGTTTGATACATTTCCTACATTCTAGGAACATGTGCTGATTTACACTCCCAGCAACAATATGTTAGAAAGCTCCTTCCCTCCCACTCATCTATAGTGTGCCTTGTTGATCTACATTTTTGTCAGTTTGATGGGTGAAAATAAATTTTACTTCGTTGGCTATTTTTATTTCTCTTTTAGTGAACCATAAGAGCTTTTTGTGTAAAGGAATATTATATGTGGTTGCAAATTCTATTATTTGTGCTTTACTTTTGATTGGAGTAATTTTATTCAATACAGAAGTTTTGAGTGATTAGTCAACTATAAATTCTTTTCTTTTTTGTTTTAAAGTTTCAGTCAGGCTTAATTTTCCCACTCTGGTGAGTATGCCTACAGGTATACTGTATTAGTAGTGAAACAATCTTTTGAAAATGAGCCTGAGTTTTAAATACAGCCTAAAGTCATTTTAATGCAAGTGAACTAGCTAGGTAATATTATTTTGATTCCTAAACAAGGTGTGAATGTATATGATTATGAAGCTGATATTCTTCCTCTGCCCCGGCACCCCCTCCTGAGATGGGGTCTCACTCTGTCACCCAGGCTGAAGTGCAGTGGTGTGATCTTGGCTCGCTGCAACCTCTGCTTCCCAGGCTCAAGAGATTCTTCCACCTCAGCCTCCCAAGTAGCTGGGATTATAGGTGTGGGCCAGCACACCCAACTAATTTTGTATTTTTTGTAGAGATGGGGTTTTGCCACATTGTCCAGGCTGATCTTGAAATCCTGGACTCAAGCAATCTGCCCACCTTGGCCTCCCAAAGTGCTGGGATTACAGGTGTGAACCACCGCGCCTGGGCTGATATTCTTATTTATTCCCGAATGAAGTTCTAACAGAATAGTTCCAAAACTTAAATGTGTCAGTCAGGGTAAGTAAAATAATCTTGCCTCTGTTGTGAAATAAAGGATGACAGGATTATAGATATCTGATATATTTACTTTAGAATTTCAAATTATTTATCAATTCCCTTTTTCCCACGCTGGTTGAAGAACCCAGACTCTATGGAATTTGAACCCTGAAACTTCTAATCCTTACTTATCAGACTGTTTCATTCTGTACCATTTAAGGCTTCTGAATTGTTTCTTTTTATCTTGCTGTCTAAAAGAGGTTAATTGCATACAAAAATGAAATAATAAAATATAAAATAATTTCAAAGGTACATATGTACCTTTAGGAGATACAAATTGTAAAATCCGATATGTGTAATTGGGACATGTCTTGGGAGCTTTTCATGGTAAATCATGTTAAAGTAGAGTTTTAACATTTATGTTTTTTAAAGATTAACTTGGACAAGGCTACTGCAGCATTCATTTTGGAAGAAAGCTTTCGCTGGACCAGATCAGGAATCAAGCATGGAAGATCTCAGTCTCAGGTAGTATACACTTACCTTCGTGTATAAGACATAGTTACTGGACACTTAAGCCCATTACTATTCTAATTATACAACATCTATGACCTGAATTTCTCTGCTTTTGTAGTAGGAGAAAATCCAGCATTTGTTTAATTAAGGGTTGCTTAAGGAGTTTACTCGTGATATTTTTGTGTTCTTAATTTTGCATATTTTCTGTTGTTATTCTTTAGTCATTGATATAATATGATAATCATTAGTTCTGTTACCAAATACATCTGGCTTCCCACCTCCCAAGTATATGGTAGGATCTTTTTTCTCCCCTTTAAGTTAGGTGTGGTCATGTGACTTGTTTTGGGTAACAAAATGTTAGCAAAAGTAATATGTGTTATTCCCAGATCCAAAGTTGAAGAGCAGCAGTAATTTACCACATGATGAGGTAATTGGGAAGAAAAATGTCAAAATGGAGTTCTAGCCTGGATTTTTTTTTTTTTTTTTTTTTTTGAGACAACGTCTCACTCTGTCATCTAGGCAGGAGTGTAGTGGTACAATGATGGCGCATTGCAGCCTTGACCTCCCTGGGCTCAGATGATCCTCCCACCTCAGCATCCTGAGTAGCTGAGACTATAGTTGTGCGCCACTACACTCAGCTAATTATTGTATTTTTAGTAGAGACAGGATTTCACCATTTTGCCCAGGCTGGTTTCAAACTCCTGGCTTCAAGTGATTTGCCTGCCATGGCCTCTCAAAGTGCTAGGATTATAGGCGTAAGCACCATGCCTGGTCTGTCAGCCTGGATCTTTTTTTTTTTTTTTTTTTTAATTTGTTAAAAACAAAAAAGAGGAGACAAGTTCTCACTATGTTGCCCAGGCTGATCTCGAACTTCGGAGTTCAAGCGGTCCGTCTGCCTCAGCCTCCCAAAGTGCTGGGATTACAGGTGTGCACCACCACGCCTGGCCTTAGCCTGGATCTTGAGGGACTACAGTGACATAGCTTTCCTGCCAGTCTTTGATGGCTATATGGATGAGGGAGGCATAAAGTTAAGAGATTCTGTAACTTTGCTAAATGTCATGTGTAGTTTAATTATCTTCTCCAACCTCTTCTTCTAACACAAAACTATAGAGAACTCCAAAGTAAGTTTGATTGTGTTGGTTTTCTCCAATAATAGCAGAAACACAATGGAGTGTTCTGGGCCACAAGATTCCAAGGAGCTTTTGCAGAATGCTCAGAGTAGACAAGCAAAAGGGCACAAGAGCGGTCAACCACTAGGTCACTCTTTCAGACTAGGTAAGCTTTTATTTGAGCACATTCATGCTACTTATAATGTTTGAGAGAGTTCCTAATTTCAATGTTATGTCCCTTTAAATCTTTGTGTATGTTATGCCTTGCATATGATATTTTTGTTCTTTTCTGTGTAACATATTACTTTCCTGCTACAGAAAATCCAACTGAGTTTCGGCCTAAGAGTACTCTTGAGGGTCAGTTGAATGAATCCATGTTTCTTCTCAGGTAGGTAAAATGAAAAAAGAGGGATCAATGTGAGACAAAAGTTAAATTTTCTTAAAGCGTCTGCTATCTTGGTGCAAACCATGTTACACAGAGATAAAGAACAGGGATTTTAGTGCCAAATTCCAGTTTCACTCTCCAATTTCAAAGTTGCAGTTAGGTGGTAGCCAGTGAAATGTAGATTTTGCTATATATAGGATTTTTGAAAATTTTTAACCAAACCAACTTATTTTTTACCAAAGCAACTCATTATTTCCATTTGTAAGAATTAATGCCTCTTCATTTTGTTCTTTAACTTAAAATAGAATTGAACTTAAAATTTCAGAAGTCCAGGTTGTTTGGTTTGTTTTGTTTTTGAGACAAGATCTCCCTCTGTTGCCGAGGCTGGAGTGCAGTGGCGTGATCTTGGTTTATTGTAACCTCTGCCTCCTGGATTCAAGTGATCTTGCCACTTCAGCCTCCCGAGTAGCTGTGACTACAGGTGTGTGCCACCAAGCCTGGCTACTTTTTTTGTAGAGACGGTGTTTTGCCATGTTGCTCAGGCTGATCTCGAACTCCTGGGCTTGAGCCGTCTGCCTGCCAATGCACCCAGTTTTTGTTGTTGTTGTTGTTGTTAATGCTTTGAAGGCAAAATCTTTTCTATTTGGGTAAATACTTACAGAAAAGAAGAGGTTCTGTTTTTCTTTAAATCCTTTTTTTATTCTTTATTTTTATTTTATTTTATTTTTTTGAGATGGAGTCTTGTTCTATTGTCCAGGCTAGAGTACAGTGGCGTGATCTTGGCTCACTACAGCCTCCACCTCCCAAGTTCAGGTGATTCTCCTGCCTCAGTCTCCCAAGTAGCTGGGACTACAGGGGCCCACCACCTCGCCTGGCTAATTTTTGTATTTTTAGTAGAGACGGGATTTCGCCATGTTGGCCAGCCTGGTCTTGAACTCCTGATCTCAGATGATCCACCCACCTAGGCCTCCTAGAGTGCTGCTATTACAGGCATGGGCCATTGTGCCCAGCCTTTCTTTTACTTTTCTATATGTGAGGCTTAAATAATGTTTGTAATCACTGAAATAATTAAAGTCAGAGTGATATCTTAAAGTGATTAGGACCAATGCATTAAAAAATTTAGTAGTATGGGCCGGGCTCGGTGGCTGATGCCTGTAATCCCAGCACTTTGGGAGGCCGAGGCAGGCAGATTACCTGAGGTCAGGAGATCGAGACAAGCCTGGCCAACATGGTGAAACCCTGTCTCTACTAAAGAAAAAAAAAATTAGCCGGGCGTGCTGGTGGGTGTCTGTAATTCCAGCTACTTGGGAGGCTGAGGCAAGAGAATCACTTGAACCCAGGAGGTGGAGGTTGCAATGAGCTGAGATTGCACCATTGCACTCCAGCCTGGGCAACAAGAGTGCAACGCCGTCTCAAAAAAAAAAAAAAAAAAAAAAAAGAAAAAAAAATTAGTAGTATGTAAATATTAAAAGTATTTAATATATTTTGTAACGTAGAGAAATAGTTTTGTTTCATGAAATAGGGGTTATAATTATAAATTAAAATTCCTGATATGTTTTACCCATATTTAAATGTAATGTATGTTTATGTATATACATTTTACACATTTTATTATTTATTTATTTATTTATTTATTTATTTATTTATTTATTTATTTTGAGACAGACTCTTGCTCTGTTGCCCAGGCTAGAGTGCAGTGGCGTGATCTCGGCTCACTGCAGCTTCTGCCTCCCTGGTTCAAGTGATTCTCATGCCTCAGCCTCCCAAGTGGCTGGGATTACAGGCATGCACCACCATGCTTGGCTAATTTTTTTTGTGTTTTTAGTAGAGACGGGGTTTCCCCAAGTTGCCCAGCTGGTCTCGAACTCCTGAGCTCAGGTGATCTGCCCGCCTTGGCCTCTCAAAGTGCTGAGATTATAGGTGTGAACCACAGCACCTGGCCCATTTTATACACTTTAAATTTAACTTTTTAGAACCTCCTACAATTTCTGGTATTCGTATTTTATGTACTATGTAAGTATATGTTTAATGAAGGGATCAACAGATAAGTGAATGAGAGTTGAGGATCCTGATACTTGGGAATTTGAAGATGATAATTTTTTTTTTTTTTCCCTTGAGATGGAGTCTTGCTCTGTTGTCCAGGCTGGAGTGCAGTGGTTCGGTCTTGGCTCACTGCAACCTTCACCTCCCCTGTTTAAGCTATTCTCCTGCCCCAGCCTCCCAAGTAGTTGGGACTACAGGCATACACCACCATGCTGGGCTTTTTTTTTTTTTTTCCCCGAGATGGAGTGTCACTTTGTCACCCAGGCTGGAGTGCAGTGGCTTGAACTTGGCTCACTGCAATCTCTGCCTCCTGAGTTAAAGTGATCCTCCTGTCTCAGCCTCCCTAGTAGCTGGGATTACAGGTGCCTGCTACTATGCCTGGCTAATTTTTGTATTTTTAGTAGAAACAGGGTTTTGCCATATTGGCCAGACTGGTCTCAAACTCCTGACCTCAAGTGATCTGAGTGCCTCAGCCTCCCAAAGTGCTGGGATTACGGGAGTGAGCCACTGCACTTGACCCTGAAGGAAATAATTAAAAAATATTAATGATCTGATGGGAAAGATTTCTTAAAATGTGAGAAGCTCAGGCCGGGTGCGGTGGCTCATGCCTGTAATCCCTGCATTTTGGGAGGCTGAGGCAGGTGGATCGTGAGGTAAGGAGTTCTAGACCAGCCTGGCCAAGATGGTGAAACCCTGTCTCTACTAAAAATACAAAGATTAGCCAGGTGCAGTGGCGGGCGCCTGTAATCCCAGCTACTTGGGAGGCTAAGGCACGAGAATCGCTTGTACCCGGGAGGTGGAGGTCGCGGTGAGCCGAGATTGTGCCACTGCACTCCAGCCTGGGCAACAGAGCAAGACTCCATCTCAAAAAAAAAAAAAAAAGTGAAAAGCTCAAAACCGTGGATCCAGGAAAAGTACAGTGGCCCATACGGTATGGCAGGCATTTATACGTGTAGGAGGAATCATTACAAATAGATAAGGATTGTAACTTCCTTGTTACTTATTTTAAATAGATGCCAGGGTAATTTCCTTTTCAAGTATTTTCTGATATACAGCTACAAATATTTTTCATTCTTTGTAGAATATCTGATCTATTTTATTTATGTTAATCCTGCCTATACCGGAAGACATTTATAAAAATTAATGCTTGAAGGTTTCTAGTTAAAAAAGAAGATACTGTGTATGGCATGGAAAGTATAAATAAAAGAAATAATACATTAGCCAGGAAATTAATAGCAGTTATAAAAATTATATAAACACAAATTAGATCTAGACTTTTTTAGTGAGAGCATATGGAATCATCATTACTCTACCATTTTTCATGAGACATGTTTTCTTCCAGAAAACAGTAAACAGAATAAACTTTCTGGAATCTGAATAATGTTAACTGGTATGTATTTTTTCAGTTCTCGTCCTACTCCCAGAACTAGCACTGCAGTGGAAGTAAGTCCTGGTGAGGATATGACTCATTGTTCACCACAGAAGACTTCTCTGACCAAGGTGAGCAGACTTGGGAAATTTTCTTTCTACATAAGATGTAGAAGCTCAAAAGAATAATTGTAAGTTGGTAAATGAATTATGTTTATAAATACAAAATTTACAATAAGGTCATCTTTCCTGATCATTATGGATTTTTCTTGTAGGTACTCTGAGAGAGATATCCCAGTTAGTTGCTTCATAGTTCTTTTTGGTAGGACTTTCCTTGAGATACAGTTGACATACCATACAATTCACCTATTTAAGGTGAACAATTCAGGCTGGGTGTGAATTGTAAATCTTGCACTTTGGGAGGCTGAGGCAGGAGGATCACTTGAGGCCAGGAGTTCGAGACCAGCCTGGCCAACATAGCGAGACCCTGTCCTCACAAAAAATAAAAAACATGAGCTGGGTTTGGTGGTGCACACCTGTAGCCCTAGCCACATGGGAAGCTGAAGTGGGAGGGTTTCTTGAGCCCTGGAGTTTGATGCTGCAGTGAGCTATGACGGCACCACTGTACTCCACCCTGGGTGACAGAGTGAGACCCACCTCTTTAAAAGAAAAAAAAAAAGGTACAATTCAGGGAGCTGTAACATTTTCAGAGGTGTGCAACCATCACCACAGTTTTAGAATTCTTCCATCACCCAACAAAGAAACTACCATTAGCAGTCACTGCCCCCTGCCACTGCATGTTTCTCCAGTTCTTTTCCATGCTTGTACTAGGCAACCCCTAGTATACGTTTTGTCTTTATTATTTTACTTGTTCTGTGCATTTTCTATAAATGGAATCAACAATATGTGGTCTTTTGTTACTAGCTTTTTCCACTTAGCATATGTCTTCTTTGTTTTTTTTTTTTTTTTTGAGATGGAGTCTCGCTCTGTCACCAGAGTCTCGCTCTGTCGCCAGGCTGGAGTGCAGTGGCACAACCTCGGCTCACTGCAACCTGTGCCTACCGGATTCAAGCAATTCTCCTGCCTTAGCCTACCGAGTAGCTGGGACTACAGGTGTGTGTCACCATGTCCAGTTAATTTTTGTATTTTTAGTAGAGACGGAGTTTCACCATGTTGATCAGGATGGTCTCGATCTCTTGACCTCATGATCTGCCCACCTCGGCCTTCCCTAGTGCTGGGATTACAGGCGTGAGACACCGTGCCCGGCCTGTTTAACATATATGTTCAAGGTTCATCCAAGTTGTAGCATGCATCAGTACTAGAGTCCTTTTTATTGTCAAATAATTTGTTGTGTATACAACATCTTTTTTTTTTCCAGTCATCAGTTGGTGAATATTTGGGAGTAGAATTGCTGTGTCATGTGTTAACTCCTTGTTTAACTTTTTGTTTTTGAGATAATGTTTCCCTCTGTCACCCAGGCTGGAGTACAGTGGTACAATCATAGCTCACTGCAGTCTGGACCTCCTTGGCTCCAGTGGTTGTCCTGCCTCAGTCTGCCAAGTACCTGGAACTACAGGCATATGCCACCACACCTGGCTAAGTTTACAAAAAATTGCTTGTAAAGACAGGGTCCCTCTATTTTGCCTAAGCTCAAACTTCTGAGCTCAAGCGATGCTCCTGTGTCAGCCTCCCAAAGTGCTGGTGTTATAGAGTGAGCCACTGCACCTGGCCTTTTTGAACAATTGTCAAACTGTTTTTCAAAGCATCTGCACCATTTTACATTCTAACCAGCAGTGTATGAGGTTATCAATTTTTACACATTCTCACTAACATTTGGTATTGTCTTAAAAAATGTGGTAAAAAATGCATTACATAAAATGTACTATTTTAAATCATTTCTAAGTATATAGTTCAAGTGGCATTAAGTACATTCATATTGGCCGGGCGCGGTGGCTCACGCCTGTAATCCCAGCACTTTGGGAGGCCGAGGCGGGCGGATCACAAGGTCAGGAGATCGAGACCACGGTGAAACCCCGTCTCTACTAAAAATACAAAAAATTAGCCGGGCGCGGTTGTGGGCGCCTGTAGTCCCAGCTACTCGGGAGGCTGAGGCAGGAGAATGGCGTGAACCCGGGAGGCGGAGCTTGCAGTGAGCCGAGATCGCGCCACTGTACTCCAGCCTGGGCTAGGCGACAGAGCGAGACTCCGTCTCAAAAAAAAAAAAAAAAAAAAAAGTACATTCATATTGTTGCACAACTATTTCTACCATCTATCTCCAGAAAATTTTAATCATCCCAAATTGAAACTCTGTACCCATTAAATAATAACTGCCCATTTCCTATTACCGTTAGCCCCTGGTAACCACTATTATACCTTCTGCCTCTACGAATGTGCCTATTCTAGGTCCATTGCATAAGTCAGGGGTCTTCAACCCCCTGGCCATGGACTGCTGCTAGTCTGTGGCCTCTTAGGAACCAAGCCACAGAGCAGGAAGTGAGTGGCGGGCAAGTGAGTGACACATCATCTGTATTTACAGCTGCTCTCAATCTACACCTGTATTATTGTCTGAGCTCTGCCCCCGGTCAGATGAGCGGTTGCATTAGATTCTCATAGGAGCATGAATCCTGCTGTGAACTGTGCACGCGAGGGATCTAGGTTGCATGCTCCTTATGAGAATCTAATGCCTGATGATCTGTCACTGTCTCCCATCACCCACAGATGGGACTGTCTAGTTGTGGGAAAACAAGCTCAGGGCTCCCACTGATTCTATATTATAGTGAGTTGTATAATTATTTCATTATATATTACAATGTAATAATGATAGAAATAAAGTGCACAATAAATGTAATTCACTTGAATCATCTCAAAATCATCTCCCCCAACCTTGTCTGTGGAAAAATTGTCTTCTGCAAAACTGGTTCCTGATGCCAAAAAATTTGGGGACCGCTGGCATAAGTGGTCTCATATAGGCTGGGCTCAGTGACTCAAGCCTGTAATCCCAGCACTTTGGGAGGCTGAGGCAGGTGGATCACAAAGTCAAGAGATCGAGGCCATCCTGCCCAACATGGTGAAACTGTGTCTCTGCTAAAAATACAAAAATTAGCTGGACATGGTGGCGTGTGCCTGTAGTCCCAGCTACTCAGGAGCCTGAGGCAGGAGAATTGCTTGAACCAGGAGGCGGAGGTTACAGTGATCTGAGATTGTGCCACTGCACTCCAGCCTGGTGACAGCAAGACTCAGTCTCAAAAAAAAAAAAAAAAAAAAAAGTAGTCTCATATAGTATTTGTACTTTTGTGCCTGGCTTATTTCACTCAGCATAATGTCATCCATGTTGTAGCATGTGCCAGAATTTCATTTTTTAAAGGCTGAATAATATTCCCTTGTGTGTATTTAATATGCTTTGTTATCTTTTCATCTATTGATGATTTCTTGGGTTGCATCCACCTATTGGCTATTGTGAATGGTGCTGCATTGCCTGTCTTTCTTGTGATAGCCATTCTATTTCACATCTAGCAGGTGTGAAATTCCATTGATTGATTGATTGATTGAGACAGGGTCTCACTCTGTCGCCCAGTCTGGAGTGCAGTGGCATGATCTTGGCTCACTGCAACCTCTGTCTCCCAGGCTCAAGCGATTCTTCTGCCTCAGCCTCCCAAGTAGCTGGAATTACGGGTACACGCCACTACCACCTGGCTAATTTTTTTTTTTTTTTTTTTGAGATGGAGTCTTGCTCTATCGCCCAGGCTAGAGTGCAGTGGTACAATCTTGGCTAACTGCAAGCTCCGCCTCCCGGGTTCATGCCATTCTCCTGCCTCAGCCTCCCGAGTAGCTGGGACTACAGGTGCCCGCCACCATGCATGGCTAATTTTTTGTATTTTTAGTAGAGATGGGGTTTCACCATGTTAGCCAGGATGGTCTCGATCTCCTGACCTTGTGATCCGCCTGCCTCAAACTCCCAAAGTGCTATGATTACAGGCGTGAGCTACTGGGCCCGACCCACCTGGCTAATTTTTGTATTTTGTAGAGACGAGGTTTCACCATGTTGGCCAGACTAGTCTCGAACTCCTGACCTCAAATGATCCACCTGTCTCCGCCTCCCAAAGTGTTTGGATTACAGGCGTGAGTCACCGCGCCCGGCTAATAGGTGTGAATTTCTATGTCTTAGTGGTTTTTATTTGCATTTACCTGATGGCTAATGATGTTGCGTATCTTTTTATGTGTTTATTGGCCATTTGTCTATTTTCTTTGGAGAAACATTTATTCAAAAATTTAACCTATTTTTAATTGTGTTATTTATCTCTTTATTATTTAGTTGTTAAGAATTTTTTACATATTCTAGATAGGAGTTATAACAATTTTCTCCCTTTTTCTGGATTGTCTTTTTTCTTTCTTGATGGTATCCTTTGAAGCACAAAAGTTTTAAATTTTGATATAGTCCTATTTATCTTTTTTCGTTTGTGTTTTTTGGCTGCTTGTGCTTTTGGTGTAATATCTTTCACCATTGCTACTCCAAGGTCACAAAGGTTTCTGCCTGTTTTCTCTTAAGAGTTTTATAGTTTTATTAGTATCTCTTAGATTTAGCTATTTTATCCGTTTGAGTTAATTTTTGCATGTGGCATGAAGTAGGGGGATATACTTCATTGTTTTTCGTCTAAACATCCAGCTGTCTCAGCACTATCTGTTGAAAAGCTTTTTCTTTCCCCATTGAATTGTCTTGGAACTCTTACTGAAGATCGATTGATTGTATAGGTAAAGGTTTATTTCTGGATTCTATTCTGTTATCTATTCATCTGTTCTTATACTAGTGGCACACTCTTGATTACTGTAGCTGTTTAGTAAGCTTTGAAATCAGAAAGTATGAATCCTCCAAAAAAATTTTTAAGGTGGTTTTGGCTGTTCTGCGTCACTTGCATTTCCATATGAATTTTAAGATCGGCTTGTCAGTTTCTGCAAAGGAGCCTGCTGGGATTTTAATCACAGTTGCATTGAATGTGTAGATTAATTTAGGAAGTACTGCCATTTTAACAATGTTAAGTTTTCCTCCACGAACACAGGATGTATTTGTACTTATTTAGGCCTTCTTTAATTTCTTTCAATCATAGTTGTGTTGAATGCGGAACTACTTTGAATTAATTCTAAGTTATTTTTATGCTACTTATTGCTTGACAAATATAATTGCTTTTAGTTTTTACTGTGGTTTTGATGTAATGTGAAGTGTATTTGGACCATGTGAAGCTTATTTCTGCTTTGAAATTTAGTATAAATGGATTATAATAAAATCTCACTGTGCTAATTTTTTGGTTATGTGAAATAGAAAATCAATGTAAATTAAAAAATTCATTCTGAAATGTGATAGATGTTGAAGCTCTTCTGGCAGATGGTTATAAAGAAGAGTATATAATCATTGTATTGAGGAAATATAATCAATAATGTGAATACCTAAGGTAGTTTATTTTACATATGTATCTCTATATTTATTTATTTATTTATTTATTTATTTATTTATTTATTTTTGAGACAGGGCCTCACTCCTATCACCCAGACTGGAGTGGAGTGGCATGATTGTGGCTCATTGCAGCCTCAACTTCTCAGGCTTAGGTGATTCTCTTGTCTCAGCCTCCTGAGTAGCTGCAACTACAAGTGTGCGCCGCCATGCCTGGCTAATTTTTTGTAATTTTGGTAGAGGTTCCCCCATGTTGCCCGGGCTGGTCTCAAACTCCTGGACTCAAGTGATCTGCCGGCCTCGGCCTCTCAAAGAGCTGGGATTACAGTTGTGAGCCACTGTGCTTGGCCTTATGTTTTATAATTTTTAAGTGATACTTTTTATTCAATTACAAAACATATATAATTGTAGAAAACTTGTAAAATGTAAAAAAGGACAAATAAAATAGAAAAATTATTTACTATATAATTCCTGAGTAAACACTGATTACATTTTTGTTTTTTTTGAGTGCCTGTTGCCCAGGCTGGAGTGCAGTGGCGTGATCGTAGGATTGTAGTTCACTGTAACCTCATACATCTCATACATTTTGATACTACTACTTCTGGTTTTATACATATGTGTTCATTTTGAAACAACGGAGTATAATTTTATAACAATTATTTTCATTTAATGATTATGATCTGATTGCAATTATTGATCATTTAGTTTATTCCTGAGCATTTTATTTTATATATTTTTGCTATTGTGAGTGGGATATTTGTTATAACTTGGCATTTGTGCATACATTCAATTTACCTATAGGAAATTAATTTTTGCATACAATTTTTTAATTGGTCCACCTTACTAATCTTACGTTCTTTTTTTTTTTTTTCTCCTTTGAGACAGAGTCTTGCTCTGTTGCCCAGGCTGGAGTGCAGTGGCATGATCTTGGCTCATTGCAGCCTCTGCCTCCCAGGTTCAAGTGATTGTCCTGCCTCAGCCTCCTGAGTAGCTGGGACCACAGGCACCTGCCACCAAACCCAGCTAATTTTTGTATTTTTAGGAGAGATGAGGTTTCACCATTTTGGCCAGACTGGTCTCGAATTCCTGGCCACGGGTGATCCACCCACCTCGACCTCCTAAAGTGCTGGGATTACAGGCGTGAGCCACCACGCCTGGCCTAATTCTTACATTATTTCTAATAGTTTTCCCATTGATTAATTTTGGCTTTTTGGATGTTCAGTTATGTCATCTATATGTAAAGATAATTTGGCCACCTCTTTCAAATATTGATGTCTTGCTTTACGGACTAATATAATTTACTAGTGGTTCCTCCTCAGTGTTAAATCAGCAGGGATATCCAGCCCTTTGCTCTATCATTGACTTCTTTCCTTTCCTTTTGCCACCTTCCTCGCTCAAGACACCATCTTTTCCATCCAGGCTTTGCAGTAACCTGCTAACTGGTCCCCTCAGTTCTCCATTGCTCCCCTCTATCCGTTCTCCACTGAAGCAAGTATGATGTATATATTTAAATGTCTTGATAAACTATCACTGTCTTCTCTCAAGCAGTGCCAGGCATTGTTTTAAATGCTTTATGTTTATTCTTCACAAACCTGAAAGCTTGTTCGTTTTAATCTTTGTTATAGATGAAGAAAACAAAGCTTTTTTCTTTAACTTCCCAAAGAGCACATAATTAACAAGCGGCAATGAAAGTTTACCCCTGTCTTTTTGCCTTGGAAGTCCATCTTTCTTTTGGCAATGTGAGTTTATCCCTGTCTTTTTGCCATGAAAGTCCATCTTTCTTTCTTTCTTTTTTTTTTTTTTCTTTAATTGAAAGTCTGTGTTTTTAAACTTAGATTTTCTTGTTTTAAACAAACTTCCTCTTCATTCTTTGTGGGTTTTTTTTTTTTTTAAAGTAGTCTCGCTCTGTCACCTAGGCTGGAGTGTGGTGGTGCTATCTCGGCTCACTGCAACCTCCGCCTCCCAGGTTCAAGCGATTCTCCTGCCTCAGCCCCCTGAGTAGCTGGGAGTACAGGTGCATGCTACCACTCCTGGCTAATCTTTGTATTTTTAGTAGAGATGGTGTTTCCCATGTTGGTCAGGCTGGTCTCAAACTCCTGACCTCATGATCTGCCCACCTCGGCCTCCCAAAGTGCTGGGATTACAGGGGTGAGACACCACGCCTGGCCTCTTTGTGTGTTTTCTTATGTCTTTCGTCTGAGTTGAAAGGGGCAGCTTGGGTTTCCAGGAACTTTCTTAGCTAACTCCTCTGTTCCTTTATCCACGCCCCTTCCTCATTCAGTTTTGGATACTTTATTTTCCTTATTCCTTACTTCACTGATTTACTTTTCTATTTTATTTAGTTTGCTAGTCATTGTTTCTTTTAAGGTTCTTAAGCATAAATTCTCTCTCTCTCTCTCTCTCTCTCTCCCTCTCTTTTTTTTTTCCTGATGGGAAATACTGAGGTGTAACACTAGGAATACAAATTATGTTTAAATAGAGCACAAAGAACCATCTCAGAGGAATAACTGATGGTGAATGTCTGCTGATTCATTTCATTATGTATCAACTCTAACTAGGCTTAATAAATAATTGAGGTTTAACACTTAGGTAACAGGTCTGCAGTTAAGTTTGAAAATTGTTTTATGTTACAGCTTCAACTTCACATTGAATATTCTGTAAAGCAGAAGTAAATTGATTAGCATTCTGTGAATGAAAAATAAAGCTGTGGGTCAGGCACGTGGCTCACGCCTGTAATTCCAGCACTTTGGGAAGCCAAGGTGGGCAGATCTCCTGAGAACTCCTGAGATCAGGAGTTCGAGACCAGCCTGACCAACATGGTGAAACCCCGACTCTACTAAAAATATAAAAATTAGCTGGGCGTGGTGGCATGCACCAGTAGTTTCACTACTTGGGAGGCTGAAGCAGGAGAATCGCTTGAACCCAGGAGGCAGAGGTTGCAGTGAGCCGAGATTGTGCCACCGCACTCCAGCCTGTATGACAGAGTGAGACTCTATCTCAAAAAAAAAAAAAAAAAAAGCCATGGTGTTAAGGGAAAAACCAGTTTGCCTCATCACAGTTTAGAACATTGAATTGTAAAGATCTTTTTTCTAGTCCTAGCCAGCCTTAGTGGTAACATGAGCAATTCAGTTACTTTCTCAGAGTTTTATATTTTTATCTGTAAAATGGGAATGATGGTGCCTACAGTTTAGGATTTTTGTGAAAATCAAATAAGACTACAAGTGTCTTGAATAGCAGTTGAAGTCCATTGATATAGGTGATATTTTACAGTGTTGTCTTCCTCGGCATCTTATTAGTTCTGTGTTTTAAAGATCTACATTAGTCACAGAAACAAAGTCTAATTTTTGTTCTCATTTCAGATTGCAACTGGACACCTGAGTCAGCAGGACCTGGAATCCCAGATGAGAGAGCTTATCTACACAGACTCAGATCTTGTTGTCACCCCCATTATCGACAATCCAAAGGTGTGGAAAGATACTCTAACAACTGAGTTGTAGACTTTACTGAGATCTGAAATCTGCATGAGATTTTCATTCAGAATATTATTTGCTGTCTAATCTTTCCTGTTTCTCTTGTCTGCTTCTGTTTCATTTGTGCTGCATGTCTGCATTTCCCGCTCCTGCTCTGTCTGCAACCCTTTCCTCTGCCTTCACTTCCACTTCACTGGAGTTCTAAGTTTTCTCCCCTCTGTTTTGAATCAGTCAGCTCTGCCTCTCACCACTGCTTTCTTCCACATGCCATGGAGGGGTTGCCAGCCTCTTGACCTCAGACCTTAGCTCTCGGTTCCTTTGTTTCTCCATACGCACTAATGTGAATCACTCTAAATATTCTAGTCTCTGATGTATTGTGAAGGCAGAAGCAGTCAGAGGGCACTGCTCACCAGGCTGGGCTGGGCAGGCATATCACACAGAAGCCCTACCCTCTCACAGGTTGTTAAGACTGCAGGGGAGACGGTGGGGAGACATTATGGGAGCTTGAGAAATCATAGTTCACAATGTACTTCTAAACCAGTGTGAGTTTTTTTGCTTCTTGTCTTTTGGAATATAATACTTTATTGCTAGGGGATAATGAGTATCTACTTTAAAAAACAAATTCATTTCTAAGTCCCTCTGTTTTGTCTTGACTTCCAGCTCCCCAGCATACTCACATTCCACTACTTATTCTCTATTTTAATTTTCCTGCTTCTTTTTCTTTTTAAATGTCTTTTTCTGTATTAATTCATGACTGTTTTTTCTTATCTCATTGGGAACATTACTGTGGTTTAGACCATAAGGGTTCTTGGATTCATTTTTATTTTCTAGATAGACAGCATTTCATATAGATTATTTAGCTATTTTTCATAATGGAGCTAATTCTTTTTGTGAGTTCGTATGTCTGGCAGAGTAACTTTATTATGCTAAGTTTGGTGTGCATTGGGGCATTTTCAAATTGGACTTTCTAGAACAATTTGTGTTATCTTTATCAGGGGTGTCCAATCTTTTGGCTTCCCTGGACCACACATGAAATACACTAATGATAACTGATGAACTAAAAAACAAAAAAAATTGCAAAAAAACTTACAATGTTTTAAGAAAGTTTATGAATTTGTGTTGGGCCATATTCAAAGCTGTCTTGGGCTGCATACAGCCCATGGGCTGCGGGTTGGACAAGCTTGCTTTAGACAATATTCTGTGTTTTTTTTCCCTCTTATAACCATATCTGATAGTTTCTGGGAAGCCTTAATCAATAGAAATTTTTGTGTTTAACTTTTAATTTTAAACTACTTTTAGTCTTAGAGAAAAAGTTCAAAAATAATTGAGAGTTCCTATATACATTTCGCCCAGCTGCTCTTAATGTTCACATCTCATAGGTCTTTAGTATAGGTTGCAAAACCTGGGAATTAACATTAGTATATCGTTAGTCAGGCGGGATAATCCTTATCTGTTCCTCCTTGTGGAGGGCAGTAGAATGTGGTAATTGGAGTTGCATAATACTTGATTAATATCTCTGTGTAATGAGGGCTTGCAATACCCTGATTGCTCCTTTCTAATTCTTCCTGAAAAAGAAAAGGAAAAAAAAAAACCAAACATGAGTATAGTGCTGTTAACTAAACTACCAAACTTATTTGAATTTTACCAGTTGCCTCTAATGTTCTTTTTTTTTTTTTTTTTTGTTCCAGGATCCCACCTTACAGTTAGTTGTTATGCCTCCTTAGTCTTGTATAGTCTGTCCTAGTCTTTCATGGCCTTGTCAGAATTTCTCAGACCTTTCTTGTCTTTCGTGACCTTGACACTTTGTCTTTTTTTTTTTTTTTGAGATGGAGTCTCACTGTGTCACCAAGGCTGGAGTGCAGTGGCGTGGCGTGATCTCGGCTCACTGCAACCTCTGCCACCCGGGTTCAAGCTATTTTCCTGCCTCAGCCTCCTGAGTTGCTGGGATTATAGGCACCTGCCACCATGCCTGGCTAATTTTTGTAGTTTTAGTAGAGATGAAGTTTCACCATGTTGGCCAGGCTGGTCTTGAACTCCTGACCTCATGATCCACCTGCCTAGGACTCCCAAAGTGTTGGGATTACAGGCGTGAGCCACCGTGCCTGGCCTTTGTATTTTTTTGTAATACATGTTATGAAACGTATGACTCAAGTCCTTGACACTTTGAAGAGTAACTGGTTGGGTGTTTTGTAGAACGTCCCTTAATTTAGGTTTGTCTGAGGGTTTCTCATGATTAGAACGAGATTATGAAATTGGATTATGAGATTAGAATGAGAATATGCATTTTAGTAAGATTACTACAGTAAATACAGTAATGCTGGTTACTTAATTAGTAAAGGGTCTAAAAATATTGCAGATAGAAGTGTTGCAGAAGTTAGGTACGGAAATGATGGTTGAATTTTTGATTAAAAGTCTCAAGATGAAGTATCTGGCTGTCCTAAACTCATGGATCCAACTACATGATTTCTTCCAATTTCTCAAATAAGTTGTACACTTTCCAATTCATGCTATTACGGCTTCCTGGAATGCTGTCTTCTCTGATATAACCATAAAGTTCTAACCATCCTTCAAGACCTCAACTCACCTTCTACCTCTTCTGTAAACCTGGTCCTAACTATATCAACTAAAGTGCTTGCTGTATTCTCTAAACTGCTGTTTACAAAAAAATTCTTTCTGACCAGTGTTTTGTCTGTAGTTACGTCCTGCATGTTTTGAATTGTGAAATATTTCGTTGTTTATCAAGTGTTTGTCTCATCTTCCCAACTAGGATGTCAGCTCTCTGAAAATAGGATTGTGTCTTTTATATCTTTGTATCCCCATTAGCACTTGGCATAGAGCCTTACCTTGGCAGGAACCCAATAGATATTTGTTGAATGACTGAATTTCTAATTAGAGGTAAGTTAGCTAAAAAGTAAGCCAAGATGGGGTGAATGTTTTCTGTGAAGCTTTATTTTATTACAGATATCAATTGAAAAGATTTAAAAAAAATAACTTATTATCTGTATTTGTATGTTTTTAATCTGAAAAGTCATTGTTTTTATTCTTTTTGGTAACAAATTTTACACATTCTTTTTTGTCCTCATTGATTTATTATCTGACACAAGGGACATATAAGGAGATAGATATCCATCTTAAAAATTGTCTCAAAAGCTTTTTTTTTTTTTTTTAACCACAGATAATGAAACAGCCACCAGTTAAATTTGATACAAAAATATTGCATCTACCAGCATATTCAGGTAGGATCATAAAGGACTTATCAAACATGTACACTATTTGTATACAGATACAAATATGAAATTTATTTGCAAATAGAATATTTGTATGTGAATAACTAAATTTATTTTGTCTTGACAATTGCCTATATTCTTGGGGCAGTGTTATACGAATTGTAAACAATCTTTAATTCATTTGTGCCATCTGTTGACATTTCTTAGCTGAGTCTGGGCTGCCCTGTTCTCTTCTGGGTAGGGAGGTTCCTGTAGATCTGGACTGGTTTTCCTGTAGAGTGGGTAGGAGGTCTTCTCTTCCCTTTACTTCTTAGAGCTGGTTGAATTTCCACCATTTATGGCTGGTGTAGGTGTACAGGTTTGGGGACAACAATGAAGGATTGGGATTCTATTGGAGGGACCAGGACATTTGAGAATGGGACTAGGTGGTTCATGACTGTGGAGGTGGTATGGGAGTAGAGATACTTAAGGGATAATTATCACATTTCTGTTGAGCTAACGAAAGTCTTACTTAGGGTGACCATCAGAAATTTTTACATACTTTAAACTGGTTTTTTTGTTTAACAAATTATATTTTAAGCTGTTAAACTTGATTTGGGGAAAATTATTCATTGTGGCTAGAGTAGAATCTATGATTTGAAGTAAATTTAAAATATATTTAGGTTTAAATAAACCAGCTAAGGGTTTATATCGATCAACTTAATTACTGATAAAAACAAAAAAGAAACTGTGCAGAAGGATGTTTTTGAAGCTAAGTATTATTAATAGTGCTTTCAGAGCCAAGTAGGACTATTTACACAAACCTAGAGAATTATTACATGGAAATACTATTTCCCTTTTCTTCTTTGAGTTATTTAGGAAATTATATTTATAATTTATTTTGTCTAAAGATAGAGATCAGCCAAAAATATGTTAATTTTAGGGGGTATCACATTTCCTAGATTTTGCCATTTTTTTGTATAGGGATTTGGAGGTAGGGATTTCAGGTGATTTTTAGCTATCATGTTATTCTCATTATTTTTTTACAATAATTTTATTGGAACTTTTTAAGAACCGTAGGATTTGTGCTTTTCTCAATATTTGAGAGTTGATTTATTTATACCAAGGCTCTTTTGTCTTTTACTCCAGTTGTGTTGAAGTTTGCATTTTGTTGTGGTGTAGGTTGTGGGACAGTTCTGCTTAGGACATCTGCTTTTTTTGAAAGTATAGCTTTCCATTGAAGTGGTTAAAAAGTTTCCATGGATAGATACAGAGATTAGGAATATGGAAGGACAAATAAAAGTAGTGTCATCTTTGGAGTATTTTTGGTTTTGACAGTGTAATGTTTGTCCTCATCTTAGCTGTCGTAATTCTGTGTTTATTTCTCATGTAATGTTTCCAGCAGTTCTTTTTCTCATCATACATACTTTTATTATTTTCTTTCCATGGCAGTGGATAAGTTATTATTTCTGAAAGACCAAGATTGGAATGACTTTTTGCAACAAGTGTGCTCGCAGATTGACTCCACTGAGAAGAGCATGGGGGCCTCCCGAGCCAAACTGAATCTCCTTTGCTATTTGTGCGTGGTGGCTGGTCAGCAGGAGGTGGCCACCAGGCTCCTCCATTCCCCCCTGGTAGGCCTTTGTGACATGCCTTATGCGTTTTAATTTGTGTTTCTATAGAGACTCAAACAAGTGCTGAAATATCAGTTTGATTTAACTACCATGAAAAAACTGATTTATCACGATTTTAGGTTTATGAAATTTATCCTCTGTTTAATCCTTAGATCCTAAAGTAGATGAGAGTAGATGGTGATTTTGAACTGTGTTTGTTTGTAATACTCAGGTTTCCATTTTATGTTAACTTGTAAGATTTAAAAAAAATACCTGAAATCAGGCTGGGCGTGGTGGCTCATACCTGTAATCCCAGCACTTTGGGAGGCCAAGGTGGGTGTATCACCTGAGGTCAGGAGTTTGAAACCAGCCTGGTCAACCTGGCAAAACCCTGTCTCTACTAAAAGTACAAAATTAGCTGGGTGTGGTGGTGCACCCCTGTAATCCCAGCTACTTGGGAGGCTGAGGCAGGAGAATCACTTGAACCTGGGAGGCAGAGGTTGCAGTGAGCTGAGATCGCACCACTGAACTCCAGCCTGGGCAAAAAGAGTGAAACTCCATCTCAAAAAAAAAAAAAAAAAAAAAAAAAAAAAAAAAAAAAGTGATGTCATAAGACCTTTTACCTACCTTCTCATTAGTGACTGGAATGAACTCCCCACGTGGAATGGGTTGGGGGTGTTGGTTCCTTTACTGGGTCCTCTGGTAAACTGCAAGGTTTCTGATGTAACATTGAAGGAAGACATCAATCCTCTAAGACATTTTTTTTCCTCTTCCCCTGGGAATATTACTTTTTGGACTATCTTGGTCTATTGGTAAGCTCAAGGGAATTTGTCAGAGTTTTTTTGGTTTTTGTTTCTTTTGGCTCATGTTTGAGCATCGATTGGCAGAGTTTTTGAAGTCATCCTCAGAAAGGAATTACAGTGGTTCGGAGATGTTTTCCATAGTGGTCCCTCATTTGGGAATTGGCTTGAAAAAATTTAAGTTCATTTGTTTCCAGGATAGTATTAAGGTTACTCTTTTTGATAGTTGGTGTGTGTCTGTCAGGTAAGGGCAGTAATTTAGCGAATATAAAGTGGTAGGAGAAACTAAAAGTACTGTTCTTAGTTTTTATTTTAATCTTATATACTAGTGCCTTTGTAATTTAGTAAATATCATTTTTGGTGTACAATGTAAACTTCCTTTTTATAAAGTCCTGGGCTGTTAACTTTGCTGTCATTTTCTGTGTTTTGTGACTTTACATTTTAATTTTTTCTTTTTTTTACATTTAAATTTTTTATTCTAGTTCCAATTGCTAATCCAGCATTTGCGGATAGCTCCAAACTGGGATATGTAAGTAACATTTATATTTTAAACATTATTTTTCATGACTTTATTAAGTAGTTACAGTGTACATATTTATCAAAAACAGAGTCCTAAGTAATTATTAAATTGTTCTGATGTAATGATGACTCTACTCATAGGCAATTTTTATGGGCATTCCAATTATAAATTTTAGAATAATAAAAATGGCCCTTCTCCTAATATTATAAATACAATTCTGGGATTATCTAAGGTACTCCTGGAAACTTTATTAACTGTTATTGTTTTTTTATTTTCATAGAAACAAGGTCTCTCACTATGTTGCCCAGGCTGGTTTTGAACTCCTGGACTCAAGTGATTCTCCCATCTCTGACTCCCAAAGTGTTAGGATTACAGATGTGAGCCACTGTGCCTGGCTCACTGTTACTGTTTCGAGTATTGGTTATAAAATACTTAAACCCTGATCCCTGTGTATTAATTTAGTTATACTTTCTCGAAGTTTCCCTTGGCCACCCTTATCTTTCCCTCTTGTAGCACATAGCTTCCTTAGATGTTATTTACAATCTAATGGGATTATGATTTATAAACTCCTGATGGAAGGAAGTGTCCTTGCTTTTTATAGAAGCAACATACCAGGTGAAAAGCATAGTAAATCAAGTGTTAGAAGGCCCTCGGTTCTGGTTGCCAATAAGACTTGGCCAAATGATTATCTTTTTCTCTATCTCTGCTTCCTGGGGAGTGTGGCTGGGACAAGGAAATGGCATAGGTTTAGGATTCAGACAGACCTGGGTGTGGATCAAAGATCTGCTTTCTGGACCAAGTACTTTTAATTGCTGAGCCTCAGTTTCCTCATCTGTAAAATTGGGATGGGATAACTACTTCATAGATTTTTGGTAATTGTTCAACTTTGAATGAGGTAAATATATGAGATACCTTGTGCAGTGCCTGATTCTTAGTGGGTATTTCATTTATAATGGGGTTGGGGCGGTAGAAGTTGTAGTTATTATCATCAAGCTTGCTTATCTCATGATTGTTAGGACAGGCACATGAAAAAATGGAGGTGAAAGAATTTTGTGAATTGTGGCAGTGGTATGATAATAATTATTCTTCTATACTGGTGAAATATGGGTGAACCAATAGGAGTTTAAAAAATGCTTAATAATAAGGGTAATTCTTACTATACATCTTCTGATGTTACTCTCCCAAAGTAAAATCTGGTAATAGAAACTAGGATTTTTAGGTAATGGCTGAGTATTTAATACTTAGAGAAGGCTAATGGTATGCTCATTAAAAATGAATCACTGAGATATTTATTTAAGCACTTTTATTTAAAACGTGTTATATCCTTGAACGGGGTGCCCCCTGCTGACATTTTAAAACAGACATTCCAGATCATTTCCAAGTACAGTCATCCTTCTGTATCAGCCCAGAGATTGGTTTTAGTATCTGCTTGGATACCAAAATTCACACGTACTGTTTTTTTCCCCCACTTTTAAAAATTGAAGTTTGATTGTAAAACAGTTTTAATTTGAATAAAATGATACTGAGGTAGACAAGTTGTCTGGTAGGAATCCTCTTTTATTCTCTTTCTCCATTCAAAGCCACTTCCAGCGAGGTTTTCTCTGACCTCAGGTTATATTACCTTGACAGCATATGGTAAAGGGTCCTTAACTTAGTCTGGGAGATAATTATTATTGAAGTAGATATATTTATTCCTTAGTTTTGTTTTGCATGTAAAAAATTAGAATCACATGATATAATTTTATGTTTGTTTTCCCTGTAACATATGTATTATGTATTTTAAATGTTATTAACATTTAAAAATAAAATACATAATACTTAAGATAAACTTTTTATATGTTGTGAATATCTGATCATTTGGTTTACTATTTTTGGATAGTATTATAATGTTGTAAACAACATTTTGATGAACATTTTTGAGATTAAATCTTTGTGTCTGCTTTTTCTTTTTCTCTTTAGGGAAGATTCATAGAATTAGAACAAATCGATAGAAGGCAGTAAATATTTTTGTGACTTCTGAAAAATTGCTGAAATACTCTTAAAAATTAAAATTGTATCAATACATAATCCCAGTCGGTGTGTTTAAAATACCTTTTGTTAGAACTTCCAACATTGAGTATTTATCAAATTGTATATCCTTTTATCCTTGCCAGTCAACTTTGAGGTATAATTCACATACAGTAATACTATAATTAAAAAAATTTGTTAATTGTAAATTATGCATAATTTAAAACATACCATTTTAGCCATTTTTATGTGTACAGTGGCGTTTAGTTCATTCTCATTTTTGTATAACCCTCACCACTATTCATTTCCAGAACTTTTTCATCATCTTAAACAGAAGCTCCTTACCCATTAAACAGTAACTTCCCTTTTCCCTTCCCCAGTCCTGGTAACCTATACTCTACTTATTCTGTCTTTGTGAATTTGCTTGTAGTGAGTGCCTCATATTGCTACTGAAACATCAAGGGGTTTGGTCTAGGTCCTGTTGCTTACAGCACAGAAAGCCAATCACGGAGACAATGAGTATTGCTAGGGAAGAAGGCTTCAATTGGGTGCTGCAGCTAAGGAGATGGGAGATCAGTCTCAAATTTGTCTCCTCAACTGACTAAAACCAGGGTTTTATTTAGCAGGGAAGGAATGTAACCATGTATGGGAAAACAGGAATTAGGAAGGGTGAGGAAGAGGAGTTGGTTGACAGGAAGCAGGTAGTTGATTAGGCAATTGTGATGAGTGAGGGGGTCTGGTATCTTATGGTCCAGATGTGGTGATCTGTTAAGTTTCAGTTCCTTGATAACTATCTGGGAGGCCTGATGGTTGGTTTCCCAAGAAAGGAACTCAGATAAGACAAATGTAACTTTCTCGAGGTTTAAGACTAGGAGGGTCAATTTCTATGTTTATTTTAACAGACCGTAAACATCAGTTCTATAGGACAATTGGTCTGATTCAGTTTCCATGTAGTTGAGTGGTTTTGATTGAGTTTCTTAGTCCTGAGTTCTAGTTTGAGTGCCCTGTGGTCTGAGAGACAGTTTGTTATAATTTCTGTTCTTTTACATTTGCTGAGGAGTGCTTTACTTCCAACTATGTGGTCAGTTTTGGAATAAGTGCGATGTGGTGCTGAGAAGAATGTATATTCTGTTGATTTGGGGTGGAGAGTTCTGTAGATGTCTATTAGGTCCACTTGGTGCAGAGTTGAGTTTAATTCCTGGATATCCTTGTTGATTTTCTGTCTCGTTGATCTGTCTAATGTTGACAGTGGGCTGTTAAAGTCTCCCATTATTATTGTATGGGAGTCTAAGTCTCTTTGTAAGTCTCTAAGGACTTGCTTTGTCAATCTGGGTGCTCCTGTATTGGGTGCATATATATGTAGGATAGGTAGCTCTTCCTGATGAATTGATCCCTTTACCATTATGTAATGGCCTTCTATGTCTCTTTTGATCTTTGATGGTTTAAAGTCTGTTTTATCAGAGACTAGGATTGCAACCCCTGCTTTTTTTTGTTTTCCATTTGCTTGGTAGATCTTCCTCCATCCCTTTATTTTGAGCCTATGTGTGTCTCTGCATGTGAGATGGGTCTCCTGAATACAGCAAACTGATGAGTCTTGACTCTATCCAATTTGTCAGTCTGTGTCTTTTAATTAGACCATTTAGTCCATTTACATTTAAGGTTAATATTGTTATATGTGAACTTGATCCTGTAATTATGATATTAGCTGGTTATTTTGCTCGCTAGTTGGTGCAGTTTCTTCCTAGCATCGATGAACTTTACATTTTGACATGTTTTTGCAATGGCTAGTACCTGTTGTTGCTTTCCATGTTTAGTGCTTCCTTCAGGATCTCTTGTAGGGCAGGCCTGGTGGTGACAAAATCTCTAAGCATTTGCTTGTCTGTCAAGGATTTTATTTCTCCTTCGCTTATGAAACTTAATTTGGCTGACTATGAAATTCTTGGTTGAAAATTCTTTTCTTTAAGAATGTTGAATATTGGCTCCCACTCTCTTCTGGCTTGGAAAGTTTCTGCCGAGAGATCTGCTGTTAGTCTGATGGGCTTCCCTTTGTGTGTAACCTGACCTTTCTCTCTGGCTGCCCTTAACATTTTTTCCTTCATTTCAACTTTGGTGAATCTGACAATTATGTATCTTGGAGTTGCTCTTCTCGAGGAGTATCTTTGTGGCGTTCTCTGTATTTCCTGAATTTGTATGTTGGCCTGCCTTACTAGGTCGGGGAAGTTCTCCTGGATGATATCCTGCAGAGTGTTTTCCAACTTGGTTCCTTTTTCCCCCTCACTTTCAGGTACACCACTCAGACGTAGATTTGGTCTTTTCACGTAATCCCATACTTCTTGGAGGCTTTGTTCATTTCTTTTTACTCTTTTTTCTCCATACTTCTCTTCTTGCTTCATTTCATTCATATGATCTTCAATCGCTGATACTCTTTCTTCCAGTTGATTGAGTCAGTTACTGAAGCTTGTGCACTTGTCACGTATTTCTCATGTGATGGTTTTCATCTCTTATCAGTTCTTTTAAGGTCTTTTCTGCATTGATTATTCTAGTTATCCATTCATCCATTCTTTTTTCAAGGTTTTTAGTTTCTTTGCACTGGTTACGTAGTTCCTTTTTTAACTCTGAGAAGTTTGACCGACTGAAGCCTTCTTGTCTCAACTCGTCAAAGTCATTCTCCATCCAGCTTTGTTCCGCTGCTGGCGATGAGCTGCGTTCCTTTGGAGGGGGAGATGCGCTCTTATTTTTTGAATTTCCAGCTTTTCTGCCTTGCTTTCTCCCCATCTTTGTGGTTTTATCTGCCTTTGGTCTTTGATGATGGTGACGTACTGATGGGGTTTTGGTGTGGGTGTCCTTTCTGTTTGTTAGTTTTCCTTCTAACCGTCAGGACCCTCAGCTGTAGGTCTGTTGGAGTTTGCTTGAGGTCCACTCCAGACCCTGCTTGCCTGGGTATCAGCAGCAGAGGCTGCAGAAGATAGAATATTGCTGAACAGCGAGTGTTGCTGTCTAAT